CAATATGCTCTGATGAAATTGGGACCAATCAGGGTTTCTGTGCAATCATATTTCGTCATAAGGGTATAATTGTAGCATTATGTCCAGAGTACAGAGGCCAGAACACGTTCCATAGCGACACTGGTCCCTGTTTGCTCCTGTCAGCTGGCAAGGCAAGTTAATTATGTTGTCCAAGGACAGGAGCAAGAGACAGAAAGAACAGGGGCTCACACAAGCAACTTACCTGTTACGGACACACCCTGACCTCCTGAGCCACCACTGACCCATGAAACATGACATGACGTAACACAGGCCGCCATTGAAAAATGTAGTTTAATTGTAACTTACAGAATTATTATATATATATATATATATATATATATATATATATATATATATATATATATATATATATATATATATATATATATATATATAAACAGGTGCAGAGTTACCATTAGGCAAAACTAGGCAGCCTATTAGGAACTTGGGGCCCCAGGTAACTCCTTACAGTTGTATGGTTAATTATAGTTATTAGACAGAAGAGAAAACATTGAGATAAAGACAACAAGGGAAAGGGACAGGCTGGGAAAAAAGTCAAGGACAAAAGGGGAAGAAATACAAAGACTAAGAAAAATACAGGAATAGAAAAAGAAGAAAGGAAGAAGGCATAGATGAGCTATTATTAGCTTTACTTCATACAGATGCTCATAAAACAGTCCTCACGCGCATCCTTAAAGTGTTACATGCGCGAATAGAGTGCCATGGAGCCCCAATATATCACACATGAGAGCTTGTCCCTTCTCTGCATGCATGTGGATCTCTTTCTGCTTCAACCCATCAATTTTTGTCACTTTTAAGGCGTTGCCCACTGGACAAAGCAACATGCCTGTGATTGGCTACTTTTCATGAAATCCAGCACCTTGTTTTGTGGCCTATTGTCAAGGTAACCAGCTTAAACTGCTTTCCCGTTTCTGCCGGTCTGTTTGACTGAAACTTTTCAGGTGTCCTATAACACTTTCAATGGAGAACCTACAGTCAGTCTGAATCGAGTATTCATCCAGACTACCCTATTTTTAATGATGACTTTGCTGACCAACTTTCAACTCTTGATGAGAAGCAGTTAGGCTGAAGTTGCTTTGCCAGCAGGATGAAGAGTACAGCCACAGGAGGCAGGATTTTCTGAAATGTAGCCAATCACATACAAGAGTAGGTAACTCCTTTAATGTGACAAAAGTTTACATCAGCCCACAAAAACAGGTCTACACATGAGTTAGAGAGAATCTATAGGTACATAAAAAGCTACCGTAACTACAAGTGCAAAAAATGAGCATGCATTCATGGTTGTGATACATGCTTGGCCTCATAGTGTTAAATGTGCACTCCTAGAACAGTTAAAATCTGCATTTATTGTAGTCTTCAGACATGTGTAAATAAAACTGCTAGTAGATTTAAAGAGTAGATTTTTGGCAGAATTCTGATACCTTCTCTTTTTAGAGGGCCCCATGCCTGCTTTTGCCTTGGGCCTCAAATTTCTCATATATCCACCACTGCATATTGATGCACAAACACACATACTTTCCTCTTGTCGCCATTCCTAATAAAATCTAGTTAACAATGGGTGGTACTTTCTAACAGCAGCCCATGTGCCTGTATGACACCGCTTTGAGCAGGAAACTGGTTAGAGGTAATGCTTTGCATTCCCCACTGGATGTCTCTCAACCCCATCCTTTATTGGACTACTCTGGCAATGCACTAAGAAAACCAATGCAGTAGCAAAATTCCAGTCTGAGCCACTGTCTCTGTAACTGAAAACCTTAAGCAGTAATGATATTTAATGTAAATTTGTCTAAGCTTAGATATAATTACTCTCAAGTAGGACGTACGTAAAACTAAGAAGTTTAAACCTTACCGAAAGTGGTTGTTTTAATCAGAAATTTAATTGTTTATTTCAACTGACATTGTAGAATTGCGCTGCTTAAGGTGGCTGCACTTTGGAGTAGCTTTGCTAGCTTGACTCTGATATTCTATTTTATGAAAACTTTAGTTTCTCTGTTTTTGAATCAGGGTTTCTTTTTTCTCATGGTGTTTGCTTCTATTGTTGAATGTTGTAAAACCAGAGGTATTTTGACTAATATTTTTTACTTTTTGGAAACTTGTTATGATGGGTAACCACAGCAACCATAGAAAGCTGTATTTTTTATACCCTGGAGCAGCTAATTAACATCTCTAAAGCTAAAATAATACATCAAATACTTCTGCAAGTACCAGAGAGGAAGAAGAAATTTAAGCCATCTCTTCCACATTGGCAATGTGAGATTTTAAGGAAACAAGTTAGAAGAACTCCAAGCCCAAGAAGAAACCTGCCAGAATATCGGCAATACAGCATTATGTGTTTTACTGAAACATGGCTGTAGATTCATATCTCAGACTCTAGCGTCTCTCTCTGCCAGGCTTTCTGAACTTATGAGCAGACAGATTTAAAAAAGACTGGAAAATACAAAGGAGGTGGGTTGGCGCAGCGTATTCTCATTATTAGTTCGTATGAAATCGTACGAAAAGTTATGCACCGTAATTTCGTACGTTTTAGACGTTTTTTTCGTCGCATTTCGTCATATTTTTACGTCTTGCCTCGAGACAAGATATCCTTGCGCATGCGCATCTTAACATAGAATTTAACATACAATTAACCCTAACCCTGACCCTAACCCTAAGATACAAAACAGCAAGCAACCTAGTTAGAGACCTGAAGAAGTGATTATTGAACTGTTTTTCCCAGTTTTACGTCCGTCCGCGGATCTGCTTTTTTCGTCTGTCTGGCTGTGCATGCGCACTGATCTGTATTTTCGAGGGAAAACGTCCAAAACGTACGAAATAATGTGCATAACTTTTCGTACGATTTCATATGAACTGATAATGAGAATATGTTGGTTGGCGGTGCTTGTGAACAACAGATGGTGTCATCCAGGACATGTTAATGTTAAGATATGTCACTGCAACCAAGATACTGAACAGTTGGCAGTTGGATTATAATTTTCCAGGGTTTACCAATTTTCTGCTGGTAACTGTTTACATTCCACCTTCTGTCATTGCTGATACTGCATGTGAGTTAATCAGTAGCTTTGCTGCTAAGCTACAGACAACAGCCGAATCATTTTAATCTCTGCTACACTGCCAATGTTCCAGTAGTTGGTCCGCTGTTCTACCAGATAGAAAAAAAAATTTGGACTTGTTTTATCCAAATGTCAAGAACTCCTGCATCTTCTCTTGGAAAATCACAGTCTTGTTTTTCTCTGCTAAGAGTATAAGCCACTTTATAAGAGAAAACCTGCTTTTAAAAGAACTGTTAGAAGATGGTCACAGGAAGCTGAGGAAGCCCTGCAAGGTTGTTTTGAAGCTACAGAATGGGGTGCGCTGTGTCAGTGACATGGAGAGGACATTCAACCCAACTCCATCCCCTTCTCCACCATCGTAGCTAAGCTTCATCAGAGTGTCATTCTTCCCGGACTCTTACTGCGTTCCCCGTCTCATCTCAACCAGTCCCGCAGAAGACCTCCTGGTTCTGCCAGAGGTTTCATCCCAAAGGGGAGTCTTTCCTCTCCAATGTTGCTTCATGCTTGCTCATCATGCACAGGTGCTTGCAGCCTGTATTATTCAAGCTGGACTTCCATCTTCCAGGTCCCCTAGTCAAGCACTAGTTTCAGCTGACGCAGTCCTCTGGATCTCTCCATACAGCACTCATGGACTGAGCAATTTCATCCATCTCCACTCCACCACTAGTTTCCACCTGGGGGGAAAACATCCCTATTCTTTACTCCTGTTTATGCATATCAAAGCAAAATTCTGTGCTAATGTTTCCTGTCAAGGTCTTAGTGCCAAAGACTAAAGTAATTGTATCAATAAAATTCTTTTGAGTTTTTCAGATTGAACTTCTGTTTAACCCAGATGCACTTAACTTAAAGGTCACAAGCTAATGGCTGACGACAGGTTCAGATCTTGATGCAACAGTAATAAAAAAAAAAAAAAATGCTATGTTAGTTTTACAGTAAAAGAAGCTGGATTCAAACCTTGCAAACCATTCTACTTGTGGCTCACAGTGTTTGGCACGTTACTGAAAAAGTAATTAGATATAGTTACTAGTTACTTCTCCCAAAAAGTAACTGAGTTACTAGCTGAGTTACTCCAAAATAAAAGTAACTAGTTGCTAGTAAAAGTAACTATTGCGTTATTTTTGCATTTCTCGCCCCCGTAGCCCTAACCACCCGGCCCCCACCTTTGCACCGTGTGTTTCAAAAGCCAGCTGAATAGAGTGGATGACAAAGACAAGGACCTGCAGAGAGTTTTGCATTTATTTCAACTCAACCTAAATGACATCGGGGGAACGCTATCTGATGGGCTACTACTAAACCCTGTCAGATAGCGTTCCCCCTGCTTTACATGGGGGGAACGATATCTGATGGGCCTATAAACCCTGTCAGATAGCATTCCCCCTGCTTTACATGGGGAGAACGATATCTGATGGGCCTATGAACCCCTTCAGATAGCGTTCCCTCTTCTTAACATGGGGGGAACGCTATCTGATGGGCCTATAAACCCCTTCAGAATGCGTTCCCTTTTCTTAACATGCGGTGAACGGTATCTGATGGGCTTCTAAATTAATTCAATTCAATCCAGGACTCCAGCCTTTATGTAAAGACTAAGAACCGCTGAGTAAGCAAGTTACAGGTATAATCATGAAACTAATAATCAATTGGTTTTACCCTTGATTTGAATGACCTAATAATTAACTGTAACTTTCAGTTCTAGCTATTTAATATATTCATAATCTTCTGGTTAACTTCCACAGCAACCCCTTCCTGGGGTTTGCATCTGTGTTTCTGGGGTAATGTGTGTTAATGGATTCAAATGTCTGTGTCTAAAGTGTATTAAAACTGGATACTGCTTCCTTCTTTCCCACAAGGCCCACCATCACCAACACCAAGACCTGACTTGTGTGCTGATGCATTTGTGAGGATGTAAGGAGGGAGCAGGGAGGAAAGCATCATTGTATACCAGACCCCTGAGGTTATTGTGTTTATATTGAATTAACAAATAATCTTAACAAATAGCGCCTGATTCAGAACACAAAACAAAAAAACATTACATGAATAAATCAATATTTATTAATTCATTGTTACATTTCTTTAAGATCTATCTGCATCAACAGCCTGATTACTTCCAATGGCTTCAAAAGGCTCCGCCCACACTAAGAACTCCCCTGTCTGAGAGGGTGTGGCCAAGAGTTCCGTGACATCATAGTGGGTTGGATATTTAGAAATTCCATGTTCCATTCCATTCTGTGTGAACCCTTCCAGGCCTCCACAGCTCTTAAGTGATTTACTCTTTTGTGAGTTTTAGTGTGAAGAAAAATCAGTCCTATCATCAGAGAAAGCTTTGTTTTTAAAACTAACAAGCAAATTTTAGAAGAATGGAATCTACCAATGGAAGTTCACCCTTGAACCAACTCAGGAATCTGCAAAAAACCCTGAAATTTACAAACTCCTCCGCCAATGTTGCCATATCTGGTCAATCAAACTCAATGGTGCAATTAGCTGGTGTGAAAGGTTTACCTGGATTTGGTCAGATAATGCCAAACGCTACTGTAAAAGACGTGGTTAGGACACCGGCTGCTGATACAAGCACCACACCACTTTCTACCTTACCAGAGTTGGAGTTTCATGCTATCTTAGGCTCCAAAGACAATATCATCTCAGGACTTCAAAGCCATAATGCCAAGCTATCATCAAACATAGGGTATCTTGGTAACAACTGTCATAAATTACAGACAGAGAACCAACAAATCAAAGAGAGAGCGATGCAGCTTCAGAATGAGTTAACCGCTGAAAGGAAAAAGCTGCAAGACGCTGAAAAGTCCTTAAGCTTTAAAGATACAGTGATCTCAGGACTCCAACAACAAAATGCCAGCTTGTCAGGACACACAAAGTATCTTGGTAATGAGCTTTATAAAATGCAAACACTGAATCAGCAAGAAAAGGATAGAGCCCAGCAGCTTGAGTCTGAGTTAAAAGCTGCAAGGAAAAAGCTGCAGGAAACTGAGGTCTGTTTAAGATCTAGTGAAGGTGATGTTTTACCGGAGCAAAAAGATTCAACAGATGAAGTGATTAAGTTGAAGCAGATAATAGAGAATCTGCAAATGGAGCATGAGAGCGAACTTGCTCTTCTACATGATAAACAGATCAGGACAGGCAAAGGCCAACGGGATGCAATCAGACGGGCCGACCAGCTGAAAGTTAATCTGATCTCAGAGAAGAAAAAAGCAGGAGAGAATGAGATCTGTTTGGCCAAGCAGATGGAAGAAATGTCTGTGTTACAAGCTACTCTGCTCCAAACGGAGAAAGATTTTGATGAACAAAAGCAGCAGTGGGAGCGGGAAAAACGCCGTCTTCTCACCAACAAACAAGATGCAGCCGAGGTAGAAAAGCTGAAAGCTCAGCTGGAGTCGCAGAAAGTTACACATGGGGTCGAGGTTTCTGCGCTGTACAACGAGCTGATCAAGAGGAAGAAAGACCATCAAGTTGCCGTCAAAAAGGCAGAAGAGCTGGAGAAAAACCTGGCTGAAGTGAAAAATAGAGCAAAAGAGGCAGAGGACTGCTTAGCCAAGCAAACAGAGGAAATATCCACCCTTCAAGCTGCTCTCATCCAAACAGAGACAGCTTTAGCAAACCAGAAACAACAGTGGGAGCTGGAAAAATCCCATCTCATGACCAGCCAACACCAAAGAGATGAGGTGGAGCAGCTAAAAAAGCAGCTGGAGTTACAGAAAGCTGAGGCAGAAGTGGAGAAAGCCGCGCTCCATTTGACACAGCAGAAAATGAAGCAATGCCATGAAGATGCTGCTAAAAAAGCCACTGAACTACAAATGACTCTGCGTGCTGAGAAGGCTAATCACATCGAAACAATGACATCCGTAGTCGAGAAAATCCGGGAAAGCTTTAAATTAAAGTCTGCTTTAGTAGAAATGGAGCAAGATATGGAGAAACAAAAAAACCTCTGGGACCAGGAAAGACTCAGACTCCTGGAGCAGCAGGAAACTCTCAGGAATGAGAAAGCAGCTATGAAAGATGGTCTACTCAATGAAAGGCAGGAGTGGCAATCAGAGAAGACCTGCCTTCAGGAGGCCATTTTAGCAGCCAGAAACGCTCTGAAAGAGTTACAGGAGGAGAATATGTCAACAGAGAGCAAAGAGGATGAACTGAAAAATCAGCAAGAAAAGATCAACAACTTACAAGGAAAACCTGATAAGAAAACGTTTGGGAGAAAAATGAAAAATCTCTTTAAACGCTCTAAAAAGCAACGGTGAAACCTCATGAAACCTCCTCCAACCAAACCATCGGTTTCTCCAAGCTCCAACTCGCTCTTTGTTTTGACACCCATCTCTGGGATTATCCCACCTTTTCTAACTTTACCACCACTCTTTTCACTTTTTCTGTAAACATTGCAGAATAATACAAACAAAAAAATGATAAAAAAAAACATAAAAATTCTTTCAAAAAAGCACAAAAAAACCAAACAAATATCAACACATTTGAACAGACACACCTACAAAACACCCACACACACCTCACACACACCTTACACACACACACACACACACACACACACACACACACACACACACACACACACACACACACACACACACACACACACACACACACACACACACACACACACACACACACACATAACAATCCTGCCATGAGGATCACAGTACTATGTGCTCCTGGTGCTGGTCCCAAGCCCAGATAAAAGGAGAGGGTTATGTGAACACACCTCAGCTATCAGCTAGCTAGATAGAAAAATAGACAAAGCAAAAACATTTACATCTTATTAAGTTCTGCCAAGTTTTGTTTAGGGACCATGCAACACTGCTAGCTGCTTTCAGATAAGCTAAACCTGGGATCTGTTTCAAGGAGCAGTTTAAACCTTTGTTGGAATAAACATAGAATCCCAAAAATGTGAGCAAATTGTTAAACAATGTCAGCTACAGCGCCCTCTAGGGGGAAAAAAAACCTGTGCTATAGTGCCATCTTTGTAGGGAAGACACGTGCTAATGTGCCCCCTTGGTAGGGGTAAGTATTGGCATGGGTGTTGTGATACGATATGTGTCACGATACTTGGGTCAAGATAAGATATTATCACGACATTGCAGTATCTCTATATGTTGTGATATTTTTCTCTGTTCTCAAAATTAAATTAATAGATAAAAAGTGAGCGCTGTATGTGTTCATCAGAAGACATTGATTATTTACTTTTTTTGGTATTCATGTTAGTTGGGATTTGGGTCAGTCAACGTTTTAAAGTTGGACTGCCTGAACTACTGAAATGATGCTGCGCTGCAAAGCAAAAAAGCTCCGCAGCACTACCTGCCAGAGTGGCAGTGCAGAGTTTGTCCATTTTCCCTCTTTGTTTTAGGTAAAACATTTCTTGTTTTAAAAAAAACAATACTAGGAGCTGAAAGATCGATATTATATCGGGCAGAACTAAATAACAAAATATCGCCCAAACATTTTTTCCCACAGCCCTACCCCTTGGGAGCTAAAACACATGCTAGTCCCTTCTTTAGAGTCAAAGTGTGTGTTAGGGCGCCTATTGAGAGCAGAAATGAATGTTAAAGCACCCTCTCTGGAGCCAAAATGAATGCTAAAATGATCTCACCCTTTGGAGCTAAAACATGTGCAATAGTGCCCTTTGGGAGTCAACAAAGGTCACAATACAATATTGTGATATGGGGGCTTGGGATTTAACCAGTATGCAACACGTGATCGATTCTGCAAAGCTGTCAGTATATAACGAATAATGATTAAGTGGTAAAACTACACAAGTTTGAAAAAACCAGAACAATGTACTTTTTTAATGGAAAGATGGAGTTTTGATCATTGTTACTCTACTAAATCGAAGAGTAACTAACTCTTCTGAACTTTGGTGAAAAAGTTTATCAATACCTACATTAACAAACATTTTCTTTAACTTACTTGTATTATTTTTGGTTTTATATTCTGGCACTTGCAGTTTTTCTCCTAAACCAAAATCCAGACAAAATGTTCACTACAGTGCCCTCTATGAAGCCAAAATGTGTGCTAATTTGCCCTCTCCTGAGCCAAATCGTAGACCAAAGTGCCCTCTATGTTGGGGCTCAAAATTACACATTATTGTTTCAATTGCTTTTTTTTTTTAGTCACTATGAGAATATTATATTTCTACATGTTTAATTTTAGCACAATACAATATCCAGGTTTGGTTAGCGATCAATTATAAATGGTTATGTAAAATAAAATTTAAATCCCTTTAGGGTCCCACCATGGGGAAATTCACTCTCTGCTTTTAACCCATCCCCTTATGTTTTGTGTTATGAAAAAATTCCGGTCATAGTCATAATAAAACTTCTGAAAGTACTTTAAATATTAAATTCTTATATACTGTTCAATAAATGATAAGTGTTTTTAATTAAGAGTAATTTTCATTTGAATGTGCTTTACTGGAGGCAATCATGTTTGTCAAAGAACACTACTGCCACCTACTGGTTTGTGACATCACGGTGCGGTATCGGTGTGTAACAACACACTATTATTCAAGTCATCTTGAAAACATTCTTCTTCCAAATGTTGGCTACATATTACGTGTTTTCAGAGTGGAACGCACGGCATACCGCTTCTGAGTGAGGGTGTGCAAGTTTAAATGATGCACATTGTTCTCACTGCACGCTCAGTTTGGTGAAACCTAATTTACACCATGGATGTTGAGCAACAGAACACCAAATGCTAAGATTGTCTGAAAACTCTCTGGACTCAAAGTAACACATCCAACCTCCACCACCTGCAGCACAGCCAGGCTGTTGAGTTCAAAGATGTGCAAAAGGCTCCATTACTTTTGCGCTGTGAAGTTAGGAAGCTGAGGCATTTCTTGCAAGAAATAAGTTTAAATATATCTAATGTCCTCAGACGGAGAGATAGAGCTCTCTGACTGCGGCAAGCTCAGTACATATATTTATACCTTACAAAATCACACACTCACACTCCCCCCAGGAGAACCAACCCACCCCGGTATAAAGAGTTTTCTGACTCTTCAACATTTGATTATTCCCAAGAAAAAACACTTCAATTCATCAAGGGCATACATTTTAGCCAGATAAACACTCAGAACAGGTCTGCCGTTCACGGCATGAAGGAGGCATTTGATCTCATTCTGGCCGCTCACACAGAGCCTGGTTCTGCTGGAGGTTTCTTCCTGTTAAAGGGGAGTTTTCCTCTCCACTGTTGCTACAAGCATGCTTAGTGTGAGGGATTGCATTCGAGTCAATGAGTCAATGCTATCAACTGGTTAGCCTTAGAAAGAAAACTGTGAATCATTGGTGAATTGTAAAGGGCCTTGAAATTACATGTGTTGTGAATTGGCGCTATATAAATAAACTGAATTTAATCTCTCATGACCCTCCCTTTACTCTTCTCTATAGTAGGGAGGCAACTGCTTTCTGTCTTCCCCAATCTTAACTCCATAACTTAACTCCAGCATACAGACTGGTACAAGACTTCTAAACAATCACCTCTATTTAGGCAGAGGAAAAGCACACTCAAAAAAACATTATCTCACAAATAGGCAGGGGTGTCAAAAGTACACACATTTGTTACTTAAGTAGAAGTATAGATACTGCAGTATAAAAACACTCTGGTAAAAGTTGAAGTATCAAGTTGACCTCTTTACTCAAGTAAAAGTGAAAAAGTATGTGCGACAAAAACTACTTAAAGTATAAAAGTATAAAGTTACCTTTAAGAAAAAGGCCAGATGCCACCATATGAATTGAAAGCTCAATTTTTCGACTATTTCAAAAAATTGTTTGAGATAGGGCCAAGGATGAGGGAGGTTTTGTTGGTCTCCGACTCCATATCTAGATACGCTCTCGCCTGTCTCCGACCTTTCAGACATTTACGCATGTTTTTCTGAATCAGACATTGTAGCATGGCATAGACAATTCACGTTTGCAGTTTGAAGAACACCTGCTTGCTTCTGATGATTTCCTTTAGCTAACCAATGAGTGTTTGCATTATATGACTCATCCATGGCATGAAATATATATTTATAAACATTAAACCAGGGGTAACTAATAAAAAATCAGTGGGGTCTGAATAAAGAAAATCAACCAGTAAATGTCAGGAGACATTTTTAATGATCTGTTACTTGAAACAGAATTTAACACTGAAATAAAATTACGTATTTATGCATTCATGTTAAAAAAATTAAAATAGAAATTGCCAAATAGTGCATCCCGTGCTATCTGAGAGGAGTTGACACTTGTGTGACTGTATTCCTGTGTATCCATCACTAGTTAAAACACAAGATTCAGCAAATGCAAATTCTGCCCTGTAAAACAATGACAGCGCAATTGTTGCTGTACGATCTGAAGCCTCATTTGGAGCTTTTAAACAGGCTTTTAAAAAACTTTGATAATTTGCTGCTGTAATATTATATATTTTTTAGAATAAAAAGCTAGCAGATGTGCATAATCAAAAAATAACAGAAATACAATTACAGTATAGAGCAGAAAGCCCACACTGTTTCTGAATAAATACATTATTGTATGAGTTATGTTCTGTTCCTTTTATGTCTCTTTCCTTGTGAGTATGAAATGTCCTATGCTCCTGAATGCAACATTGCTTCATGACGCTCGCGAATGCATCACACTGGTCTGTGTAGATGCGCGTTTGATTTTCAGCTGAAGACAAAGCTTTGCAGTTTTAAAACCCATGTCGGCTAATCACTGTTTATTGTTGTGTGTGAATAACAAGAGACTACAACAAATAAATCAGCTTTACCTCGGACAAAATCTTTGGATTTAATGTTGTTCATAACATCGCAGTCCGCTAATCCGTGACCTCTGCATTAAACCGAAGCCAAGAGTAACGAGTAACGTTTGTTTAAAAAATGTAAGGAATAGAAAGTAAAGATACTTGTGTGAAAATGTAATGAGTAGAAGTCAAAAGTAGGCGGAAAAATAAGTAATGGAGTAAAGTATAGATACCTAAAAAGTGTACTTAAGTACAGTAACGAAGTATTTGTACCTCGTTACTTGACACCTGTGATTATGTGTGACTGATGACATAAACTTCTGTGTAGATAACACCATCTGTAAAGAACAGAAACAGAGGATCCAGAATTCAGCCAGACAAGGTCAGATAACGTAAAACAGTTTATTGCAGTGTAGTCTACTGCAGGCCGAGGATGAATATCCAATGTCTGGCATAGAAACACTTGAAGTAATGGCTACAGGTTACGTCACTGGTAAAGCACAATGTGATCCAATTGGAGCAGTTCGGAGGAGTTTACTCAGAGGATTGGCAGGTAATAAAAAGTAAAATGACAGGCACTGGGTCAGAACCATGATGGCAGAGACAGGCAGGGTGATCAGGAGGAATAATCAGAGTCCTGCTGTAAAAATTAAAAAATATCCACTGGACTTGGTTTCCAAGGTTTGAAGACGTTTCGCCACCTCTCCAGGAAGCTTTCTCAATTCAAAAGTCTAGATCTGCAGTGAGTTTGAGTCTTATATAGACTT